GCAATGTAAGGGTATACTAATATGTAAGTAAACCCGGAGCCGCGGGCAACGTTAGGCCGATATAAAATGTAGTCATTTCTCCATAGATTTGCGTAATTTTTAATTTTTGCAAAATAATTTCGTTCTTCAAACCAAACAGATACACCAAGCCTAACGAAACATTTAATTAGAAAAATATACGGACTTTAAAAGAGACGGGTTTCTTAAACTGTATGCACTTAATCCATCGTTTAATTACAAAACAAAATTTTAATATCTGTTCACATACACTACGTAACATGCACATAAAATCCGAAGGGTCTCATCTCTTCATTGGTCCAGGTAAAAGGCCTTTTAAAAATAATACCATAATATATTACAGCATGATCTCACTGTGTCTTGAAAAATTATTTAAAATTTGTTAAAGTTAAGCTGTGACAAAGTAGAAAGAGCTTCAATTTTGAAAGACTGGCACCTCAGGCAGCACAGCCTAGATAACCCCACTTTTGCCGTTATGGTATAGAATTTGTACCGCAGGGAAATTGTAAAAACCGTTAAATTATAATTTCAATAGTGAAATTATAACTGCCCGGAGTTTTTTATTGTCTCGTTTTCTTTAACTGACTGCCAAAAAGGAGGAGGTTCTCAATTCGTTGGGGGTTTTATGTATGTTTATCGATTACTCGAAGATGCCTGAACCGATTTGGAAAATTTATTTTTTGTTTCAAAGGTTATACCTACCTCCCAAGTGGTTCCATTTAAATTTTATCGAAATCGGTCGAGTTTTTAAAAAAATCATCAATAAATATTTTTTTAAATAAATTGTTTCTTGGAATATGTTATAAAAAAACTTTCTTCTTACAAATTATCAGCTTATTACGTCTACACTAAAAATATCTATAATATTATCTACTATAGGTAGTCAGATAAAAACGTCGTTTTTGATACACAGCATGGACCATAGACTTAGTAAAATAAAGGAATAGAAATGTAATATTTGTAATTATTTATAACATATTTAATTATTTATAATTTATTTTATAATTATTCATAGGTTTATTAGTAAGTATAAGTAGTTCACAAAAAATAACCTCAATTTGCGATCTCGAACTAGAATAAAACTTATCTTTGCTTGCCAGAAAGTGCTTGCGATATATGTGTTCAGTAAAATATGATAATAGTTTTCATCCGGAATTATTTGCATTACCGGTGATGATACAGTTGTCGCATCACTACAATTTTTTTTGTGGGTAATTATAATTTTATGGTTTTTAAAATTTAACTGCATATGTACGTACGATACTCAATAATTTTCAATATAGAGTAGCACAGTGTTTTTGCTTCGCTTTGACTAATTACTGACTGACTTCTTTCTGACACTTCGACTAGATTTATATAACTAGCAGATCCCGCGGCTTGGCTCGCGCTAAAATTACAAAAACATCTTTAAAAAGGTAGTTTCGAACATACTTGCATCCCCTATTTTACTCCCTTAGAGGATGAATTTCAAAAAATGCCAAAACCGTATTTATTTAATTTTATTGAAAAGCATTAGTACCAAGTTTCAAGTAATTCTGATCAAAAAGTTGCCTATGTCACTCTCCAGCCCTCCAACTATCTTCACACAAAAAATCACGTCAATTCGTCACTCCATTTTGACGTGAAAGAAGGACAACCAAACAACCAAACAAACACACTTTCATATTATAATATTAGTATGGTTAGCTTGTCTTAAATGAGCTTTTCATAGAAATTATATAAATGGAAGGAAGGATTATTGAGAACAATTTTGCAAAATTACTATGATTATATTTAATGAGATGTTATACAAAGTAAATAAACGTATAAGTATTTGCATTTAATATAACAAGTATTTACTGTATCTAAGAAATATAGTGTATGTATGTGCCGGATGTGAAGGAATCGGGCAATCAAGTTTGCTGGGGCCACATGAGCGAGTGCATTGTTTTGTCTGGCAACGATTGTCAAAATGTCTGATTAGGTGTCCAAGATAAATGAAAACTACTAAGTAAAAAGCGCGCTCAAATGTTCAAATGAGCGCTCATTAGTGAGGAAATTATTTTTTACATTTTAGTTTTTTTTGAAGTCCGTTTTATTTTTTTCTATTTTTTTATTAATCCATTATTAATTAGGTACCTATGTATATAACAAGATGAACATTGAATATTATTTTCCATGTTAAGACATATTTGTAGAATTTTCAAGTAGACAGATCTGAAAAAAATATAAATATAAATTAGGATACTGGCGCAGCACGTGATGGCTAGTTAGTTATATTATAATTATAATTACGTTAATATTTTTTCTTCAATACCATGTCTAAGAAAAGTTAAAAAGCAATTTTTACATTTCATTCTGTAATATGTAGCAGGTAGTCTTAAAACAAAAGTAAACAAAAGTGACAAAAGTAAGTAACAAATGTAAGTTAAAATTTTTCAAATCTGTCTAAGAAATACATGCGTAGGAAGGAAAATAGTATTGAATGTAAATAATTTACTTCTACATAATACCTAACATAATTATTAACAATTAATAAAAACTTTTTAACAAAAAAATAAAAACCGACTTCAAACAAAAGCACTAAAAAGTAATAAATAACTGATTGGTAGTTTTCATTTACTATACATACCTAATCAAATATTTTCGAAGTCGGTGTGCTTTGCTTTGTATGGGCTGGCACCGATTTCGAAAATATTGGATTAGGTATGTATTTAATAGGTAGGCTTTAATTACTTAGCCAAAGCACACCGACTTCGAAAATATTTGATTAGGTATGTATAGTAAATGAAAACTACCAATCAGTTATTTATTACTTTTTAGTGCTTTTGTTTGAAGTCGGTTTTTATTTTTTTGTTAAAAAGTTTTTATTTTTCCCTTTTTAGTGTAGACAGTAGTAGAAAAGTAAAGATTCTAACGTGTTAGGCTTGTCAAATCAAACAAAATAAGCCCAAACTCAAAGTATCTACTGATAGCCGTTGAAGAGTTTCACCATCCACCTTCTGGCCTTGCCATCAGATCAGGTCAACAACACCGTACTATGTACTATCAACGGAAATAGAAATACTTGCAAAGTTTCAAGTCAATATGACAATTAGAAGTAGGTCAAATTCATCATTCGTTGTTTTTCCACCCTTAGGGGTGGTATTTTTTTTTGAAATTTAAATGGGACCAATCTGGAAGTATACCCTTTCAAACGACACAAAAATTGTCCAAATCGGTTAATAAATGACGGAGTTCTGAGGTAACAAACATAAAAAAAAAAAAAAAACATACAGTCGAATTGAGAACCTCCTCCTTTTTGAAGTCGGTTGAAAAGTGCGGCTATCAAGTTTTCCTTACATTACAGGCAACAAGTTATCTAATATGATTGTTATAACAATTAATGATTATTATCTGGACTTAAGACTTTATAGATATATATATACTAATTTTATAAATGTGAAAATGTGTTTGTTTGTTTGTCTTTCTTTCACGTCGAAAAGTTTGTATACCATTTTAGAGCTTTTTTTGTAGTTTTAGCGCGAGCGAAGCTGCTAGTATATTATATTTTTTGATGTACTCAAAAAAATAATCAAACATTAAAGAGAATTTAGAGGCAAAACTGTACTTAACTTTATAGAGTATAGTTGGACACGATGAAGCGGCCATCTCGTTCAGAAGTGCACCTCCTACGACCTTGTCCTGGTCTTCTAGTGTAAGATCCAGTTTCTGTGTATCGTCGGATGGCATTACGTATCGTGGTTCGAGGATATCGGCATCATACGGCCTATATGACGCTGGCTATATCCAGCATCTAACAGCGCCACCGCTCTAGCTACACCGGCTGCATCCAATGGCATTTTATTGAGTAAAGAGCAACTATCAAACCCTGACGCACCTTATGAACCAAGAAATGTGTCTAAAAACTTCACCGGCAATACTTTATTTACTATGAAAACAATAAGTTGGAAAGTCAATTTTCGACTATACTCTATAAAAGAGACTCGCACTTGAGGGTATCTTTGAAATGGGGCATAAGTTATCTTAATTTATCATAAACTACCCACTTAACAAATGGTCATTCAACTTCATAAGCGTTTAGTTATTGTAAACAAAGTTACGTCGCTTTAGCCTGGTGGGCGGTTAATTGTGCCTCTGAGTATATATATATATATATATATATATATATATATATATATATATATATATCTTCCATAACACGAAGACGACGAGTCGATTAACAAAAGTTTGTGCAAATATAATTTGACGGCTTTTACAATAACCCTGCCACTTATACGTACATACGATAGCTCTAAAATGTCTGTTCCATAGTGAAGAAGCACGCAATTGACACACGCTTCGGCACACTAAGTTTTTCATTTTTAATTCTACTTATTTGTTTTTGATGGATAAAAATAACTCAGAAAGCGAAGATGTCTCTTTCACCATGGGATCTCATCAGGAACAAAGAAAAATTCATTTAAATAAAAGATGACGTTATATGTATCGATTTGTTTTTAAAGTTGTGTTAAATTAACAAAGGATAAAAAAATAGATCGAAGCGAAGCGAAGAGAAATGAAATAATGCGCCCGTAAATCGAATTTGCGTAATTTTACTGATTATTAAAATATCAGCAATCGGATGATGGGTTTGTAGTGCATATTCACAGATGTTTATCACGGTTAAAAATGGTTAAAATCATTGAAACCTTGTTATTCGAATGCAGGATGAATATTACCATGTACGTTAGTTAATAGTTTGCATATAAAATAAAACAGTTTAACTATTTACCAATCAACGTCATCTATTATCTATTCAACAAAAAATAGCTACAAGAATAGCCCGAGTCAGCGATATCCAACTTCTTTATATGCGATGAGGCATCTGTACTAATATAGTATTATGTGATCTGTTCTTCCACCTACCATGACTAACATGACATAAAAAAAAATAATCATTTATTAATTGTTTCAGGTTATAATTAAATTATTTACCAAAATATCAATGTGATATTGGTATAATGGACGCTCCCTGTGCTTCCACGGCGCTGGGCCATGCTCACTTGTCTCATCTTCCACAACGGCCACCAATTAATTTAAGCTTTCAAGACCTTTCGTACACCGTGTTCAATGGAAAATGTAAGTTAAATATTTAAATATATAATACTATTAGTGCCATACCCTCACTTCCGATGCGTCCATAAATGCTCTTCGTATTCATAACGTGTCGTACTCCAGTCATGGATGTTTATAATTATATATAATATGTGTGTACTTAAAGTTATATATGTGTAGTATATCATCTATCTGGTATCCATAACACAAGCCTCGTAGCTTACCGTGGAACTAGATGGTGCTGTGTGTTAATCTCCCAACATACATATTTAATTATAATATAAGTACCTATTACATAAGCTCAGACGATTCTGATTTCTTTTTTCCCCACTTAATTCACAAAAATCATTACACTGAGCATATATACGCAAACTGTTCATCAATTATAGCCAATTATAACTTATATCCTTATGTCTTTTTATTTTTATAAAAAACTCGTATAAAAATCCACATAGAAGTTTCTGAGATTAGTCCGAACAAACACAAAGTCAACCGGGGGGCTTTCTTTTAAAATATGTAGTGATGATTCCGCGTTTATTCCCCATAGATAAGTAGTTTTTTACAAATACCTCAGTAATTACTTAATGTAACAAGATAAAAATTATCCTATGAATAATGAGAATTTAGAAAGACATTTTTTATGAGACTTTTGGTTTTAGATGTAGCAAATATTACAATGAAAGGGCAGGTCACTGGCATAAATAAGATGTATATTAGTAAAAATGTAATAATTACAATTTATTAATTTTATATACATTTAGAAGTATATACATTTATATTAGTATCTTTCTCATCTATAGTTTAAAAGGTTCTGATAATGATAATATAGGAACTAATATAATATAGTTAGTTAACATCTGCATCCTATCGTATGATCAGTTGCAAGGTTCTATAGTAATTGGCGCTGCGTGCATTGACCAACAGTTTCGAAAGCTTTGTGCGAAACGACGTAGGAATGTGCGTTAAGTTTTATTTATGTGTTGTACGATTCATTAATTTTCTTATAATGGTCTAAGTATGATAGTCCTTTACAACTCAAAGGAATTTTTTATAGATAATTAATTTTTAAAGTTTTGCTATCTATACTAATATGTAAATATGAATCGTTTGTTTTTTTTTTTGTTTTTTCGTATATTGGAATAAAGGTTTAAAAAGTGTTTATCTCTGGAACTGCCAGTCTAATTTGAGTTTTTTTTCATTTTATATTAAAAATATAATAATATTATTCTAAAGGACATCAACTAAATATGGTTCAATTTCATAAGTAGATACATATATTATTTTTCGTTACTCGCTAAACTTTATTCAATAAGGCACTTTACGCATTTACTTTAACATTTACTGTGTTGTTATGATGTTTCGTATATTATCTCACCTAACATCCCACGAAAAGTATTTGATGTACCGAGACACGTGTTAAAAATATTACAGACATGTTAATTTCATTACGATGTATGGCATTCATTTATGTTTACAAGGTTAGGTCAATAGCCGTGACATTGTTAAAGTTAACATAATTTCGTGTATGACTTATATATCTGACGTGATAAAACTTATGTTTTTTAAACAGCAGGCTTAGATAAAAAAATTCCATTCAATTATGCCCTTTCAAACGATTATTGAGGATATTAAAAAGATATAAATAATAAAATGGTCAATTTAATTCTTAACAGTAATAAAAACAATTATTCATAGTACTTGTTGACACGCATTAGTAATTTTATCGTTCGTGTGCGATTTTAGGTCAAAGATCGCTCAATAATCCATTATGAATCATTCAATGTATATCACACTACCTTAAATAGATTTTGTATACAATATTATTTACCTATTGTATGTATATTATGTTATATATGTAAATGATTTTTTTGGAAGTCAATTGTGAGTAATCTAGTCTAATATTATAAAAAGGAAAAAAATGGTTTTGTTTATTTGTTTGTATCGAATAGGCTCCGAAACTACTGAATCGATTTAAATGAAGTTTGGTAAGAAGATAGTTTGAGACCCTGAAAAGGACAAAGGATAGTTTTTATCCCGGAAATCATACATTATGGAGGTGAAAATGGGGTTTGTGGAAGCTACCAAAATACATATAAAGTCAAAATACATATAAAACAATTCCTGAGCTGAAGGTGGAGATCTAACGCGTCATTGGTGAGATACAGCCACATGTTTGTCAAAAAGTCATCGAATTTCACGAAAAGAGTAAAAGCTTGTCATCAGAGCCGCAGGACCCATTTGCCGGATATTATATTCCATACTTAATCGTAACATGTCTACTTAACAACCCAATAAAAATATCACAACTCACTCAATAAACACGAGTTTTTAAGACACCCCATACATAAATTATCTACATCTCTACATTATAATATATGGAGAGCAGAAACATTTTTTGGAAATCGATTGTGGGTAATCGATAAATTGCAACGCTTAACATCACTAGTTAACAAACACGTGACCGGCGACCGTCCTGCGGCCTAAAACTGCTTGCACGTGAATGCCGAGATACTATGATATTGCAATACCTCTGAGCCAGTAATGCGAGTTACTCGTAGTTTATATTTTACTCGTCTCAAATCTGCTATAATAGTAGACTGTGACACGAGTGAACAGGAAATTTGTTAATTTGGTTTTTTGTCTGTTATGTTGGTATAAAGGTTATTCCTGATTGGTCAAATAATATATTTTTTTAAGCATAACGATATACAATTTTAAATTATTTTGTTAGAATCGTTAAAGTTTCGTTGAATACATACATACCTAAATATATTAAAACTGTAGAGGTCGAATGTCTGTACATAGAAAAAAAAAATGCTAATAACCGAGTCAGGGGGATGTATGTAAGAAGACAAATAGAACAAATCAAGATTTTTTCAAATTTTTTTGTTTCTGTGTCTGTTTATCTGTTTATCTGTTTGTACGGGCTAATCTCTGAATCTATTAACACCTTAGATACTTTTCACCCCTCAAAATTAAAGAGTTCCCGTGGGATAGTTAAAAAACTCTAACAACTTGTACAGCTTAGTACACAAAAACTACTGATTGTATTTTAATGAAACTTAACAATAATATAGTTCATACATGACAATAACAAATCGGCTACTTTTTATCAAAATTAAAGAGTTCCCTTTTACAGCTTAGTACACAAAAACTACTGATTGGATTTTGATGAAACTTTACAATAACATCCATACTAATATTATGAATGTGAAAGTGTGTGTGTTTGTTTGTTTGTTTGTTTGTTTGTTTGTTTGTTTGTCTTTCTTTGACGTCGAAACGGCTTGGCAGATTGGCGTATTTTTTTTGTGTCGAGATAGTTGGCAGGCTGCTGGAGAGTGACATAGGCTACTTTTTACCGTGAGAAATTATCTCTTTCCCACGGAAAAAGACATTATAATACAACTCAACAAAATAGTTATGATCAGAATTACTTGAAACTTGGTATTATTGCTCTTTAACAAAAATTAAATAAATACGTGTTTTAGCATTTTTCGAAATTCATCTTACAAAAATGTAAAATAAGGGATGAAAGTTTGTATGAAACTATCTTTTTAGAGATTTTTGTAGTTTTAGCGCGAGCGAAGCCGCGGGCTCTGCTAGTATTTAATAAAAGGATTGTTGTTGCAACAGTTATGTATTTATTCCCCATTTTTTTTAAAAAACCAGGAATTTTCAAAAAAACTTGTATTTATATGGTAGTAGCACTATTCGTCACCTGCCGTCATCGTGTTGTATGCGGGAAATGTGGAATAGAGTTATCACTGCGTTCACTTTGACTATCGCAAAGCTAAGTTATACGAGTACATAAATGTGATAAGGTGTGTACTTACGTAGAAGGTTTTGCATGAAACAAAATATACGTTGCAAATACAAGTTTCTATATCGTTACCTATATGAAAATTAAGTTATTTAACACCAATAATATAACTAACCCTATCTAGTTATTATGATATTTCTGTTAAAACAATACAAAACTATATAAAAACATAAATGATCGTTGTGTAAAAACGTAAATCTGCGTAAGTTCTTATCACGATTGCTTTGAATTTTGAAACATTAACTCGTAAAGTGATTTTAAATGGAAAAAGTTTTTAAGCATTTGCTGTTACTTGCCACTGGATGGCGCAACAGTGAACTAACTTCACAATGTTCAACCGACTGCGATTGAAAATTGGTACAAATATGAGTTTCAGTTTGAAGAATATTTTCCCGCTTTATATGTATGTATGCACATCATCTTTTTATGTATGTATCCACATGCAAAAGTCACGCACATGGCATAAGAGTAAAGACTAAACGTCTGTGTGTCAAATAATGCACGACAAAGTAACTTTAATTTTAGTTTAGTAGGTCATTGATTTGTAACCGAAAAATGACCATGAGTTATCAGTATCTATTGCAACATAGAACTAATTGTTATTGTTAAACTAACGTCTTGTTATTGAGGTGTTTAAAGTATTTATTTATTTGAAATAATTATTTATAAGATATTTTGCCTTGATTGATTTAAAAACTAACTTTTACTTAATCAGAATTTAAAACGAACGACACTCTCTGTTCCATATTTTATGCAAAAAATGCCGTCGATCCCTGGCTCTGTTGCTGTGTAAAAGGAAGACAAAGCAACAAAAATACTTTAGTTTTTGTTATGTTTTATAGTAAAGATTATTATCATTAAAGATTTAAGGAGAAATGTTAGGTACATTGTAAATAAAACTATCTTTTCGGATTTTTTCGCGGATAACCGAACGGGGGTTTTCATTTACTATAATACAGACTTCAAAAATATCTGATTAAATTTTTTGAAGGCGGTTTAATTTTTTTTAATTACTTTTTTTATTATAGAAATAAGGTAAATCGAATGAAACAGATGATACAAGTTTGACATGCCTCTCCGAGACACACAAGCGCACTCCCTAGCGAGTCGGTATCGATGTTTATTGTCTTCAAATTTAATCAAGCGTTTGTAGGGCAAATGGGAAATGGGAATCCGGCATTATAATTTCATCATGTACCATGGT